TGCCTGTTTTGCTTGTTATTCTTGATATCTTGACATCATATCAATATCGAACTGGATATAAAAATTAAACAGTAGTACTACCACCAACCAACTAGTTGATCATAGAACGACAAGGTGAATTAGCAAGATGCCTCTTCGCTGAGCACATTCACTAGTATTAAAACATGAATCGAATAACCACCTTTGTACAAGATATGACTTCAGGAAGGCAGTATCCACATGCTATTAATCATTACAACTTGCTCGTACTTATTTATTAGATTCAAAATCCCCACTAGAAAAGGATTGTGCTCTCTACTTTCCCATACCTTCGTTATAAAAGTCCTATATAAAATCAATCTGACTGCCTGGAGCCCTTACAAACAGTCTCACAAATGACACCATAAGACAGGTGCGAGGATTCGGGCTTTTATGTGACCCAATCTCCATGACTCTTCCCATTTGAAACAGATAAGTGATGGGCCTTTTCCGAGCTACTGTCAGAATTCCATGCCTGAGATCCTGATGGACTCTGGCCTTTTCCCGCAGCTAGTGCCGCCATTTCTGATGCCGGCAGGTCACGCATCACCGATAGGTTGGCCATGTCCCCATATCCAGTGACTGCCACGTCCAAGTCCCTCTGAATCTGCGATGTATGCAATATACCACTCTAAACGATAAACTTTCCACTATGCTCCAAGTAGCATAAAGCACATCACTTATATCATGATATAAGTGATGTGCTTCCACCCAAAGTCCCCCCCAAATAACCCAACCCCTCCCACGCACCCCAAACTCCATCATCCCCATCCATCAACATACCCAAACCCCCACTCTCCCCCAAGCTTAATGATGTCCCGCCCCCGCCCTCGCAAGCACAATCCCAAAAACCGTCAAACAGATAAACAAAACGATAAAGACCAGCGCCACCATGCGACAGCAATGCATCTGGGCATGTTTTCTCTCCCGGCGAGTGACGGTCCGCTCACACATCTCGCAGTGTTCGTGCGCGGTGCTGATGATGGAGGTGGTGGGGTTGGGGGTGATTGGGGTGCAGCTGTGTTGGTGCACGGGGCCGGTTTCGAGGTCTGCTTGGGGGAGTTCGGCGTACTGGGTTGTTTATGTGTGTTAGTTTTTGGGGAGAGTGGTAGGGTTTGGGGGACGGACTTGGTGGGAGTGGGAGTGGGAGTGGGAGTGGGAGACGGAGGTGGCTTCTTCGTAGGGTGGGGTTGGTTCGAAGGGACTGGTTGGTGCTGGGTGGCCCATTTTGGAGATTGGATTTAGATTGGAGATGGATTGTCGGGATAGCTTAGTGATGTTGGGTTGGGTTGGGTTGAATGGAGGTATTAGTATGGTGGTTTGATGAGGAATGGTGCTGCCTGCGTATAAGGCTGAAGGATCCGAGTCACATGCGCCTCCGGCACAGCCACACGCTTACTGTGCTACTTCTGTCAGCCATATGGCTGAGATTCGTGGCTGTTCGTGTTGAGAGTTTCAGGTGCAGGCATATGATGCTTGGTTGGATGATGATTGGCTAAGGGTACTCAGTAGAGGATACCTCGATGTAGAGCAGAGACATGGCAAAAGGGTCAGGTGACCTGCATCCATCACCCAGCTGTCTCAATATACAGTCAAGTCATGCAACAGAATCTCCATGTCCACCCACGATCTATAGCCGAGTCGGAACCAAATTCAACGTCGGGCCACAGTACGCCTCGGGATCAAACTTGTCCTTCTTGCCCAACCTCACATAACCATCCCACGGTCCTCCCTCCTCAAACCGCATACACATCGTATCACAATCCTTCCTGCACTGCTTGAAATGCTTCTTGTCGATAAACTCCTTCACGGCTTTTCCCACCGTCTGACTCAAGCTGGTGTAATCGCAGTCCGTCATCTTCGACGAATACGTGAATCGCCACCCGTCATACACCCGCTCGAAATAATCGCATTGCTTCTCCTCAAAGTCCTCGAGGTTGATGGTGAAGGTCGGGATTGCATTCGGAGGTTGTTGCTTGCGTTTTTCCTCGCGTTCCTGCTCACGTACAGCCTTTGCCCAGGCTTTGCCGAATTCCTGGGCAAATTCTTCCTGGGTGGACTCGGCGTGAGACTTGACCGACTGGAAGATCTCTTCGATGGTTTCGAGGCCAATGAGGTTTTCGAGGGAATCACTGGCGGAGATTTGGAAGTCGGGGTTGGAGGGCTTGTGCGTGTTGACCTCAGTCGCGGAGGGGTCGTCTGCCAGGGGTTTCTGGGAGGCGATGACCGAGGTCGAGAGAGAGAGGAGGGCAATGGGGAGTGTCAACTTCATGGTGGCAGATTGTTTGAATGGATTCAGAATTGCTGGACTGTCTCGAGGTTGTCGTTGCTTTTGTACTGTGTAGCCCAGGTGGAGATTGAGCTGCCGGAGAAGGTCGGAGCTCCGATGCTTGACCTTGCAAGAGTATCCTGAGTGGTTGATGTGCGGATGTGGAGCAGGTAAGGCGTTGGCTAAACAGGGCAACACTGGCTGCTAGCCTTGTGAGGTCTAGTCGACTGGAGCAGTGCACTGCCCCGCTGTTGAGGCTGAGCGGCTATCTCGGTACACGACTCGTGTCTAGCTTGAATGAGGTCATTCTTCTGTTTGAAGACGGGGCGCAGTGGCCCGGTGGGTGCCTCAGGCTGCAACATGATGCTGCTGCACCGATGGTTGTCGCGACTGCACTCTCAAGGGTCAGGTATCTGTGAGATCACTGGAAGACTTGGGAGCGTGGTATGACAGTGCCTGGTAGTAAACATACTTTGTCTTGTAGTATTAGCATGCAACTCTGGCATGGACTCTAATAGAGACTCAGAGGAATATCGCGCACTTCCACAGAAGAATAGGTGGATCATATCTCGGGCTTATAGCCGGATTTGAAAAGTGCGCGAATACGTGGCACACCTCTGGAGGCACTAGTCGCATGTTTGAGTACGGAGTAGTAGAAGCTAGAATAGAGGCAACGCAAAGGAGATCCATCAGGATAGTGGAGACACTCGGAGGGAGACTCCCGATAAAGGCACATCCACCGCATCAAACATCGGGTCACGTGCATAGGCATCAACTGGCAGCCCCTTTTCTGCAATTGGAGCCTCAGGCAACAACATCAGGCATCACCAGTAAACGAAGCTTGTTTCACCACGTGCCTGCATGCGGGGATTACTGCCGATGCATCCTAAGAAATGCCGTCCATAACCACATAGAATCATGATTATTAGGGGATTCATGGAAGCCAGATAACTGGCGTTATCAATCTCAAGTTTGTCCGGTTTGTCTCCCCGCCACCCCCACTTGCAGTTTCAGACAAAAAAGTTGAATCAAAACATAAAAATGCTGGGGCTGCAACACTCCAGGGAGACAGTATATGAATGAAGATCTACCATAGACGAATGTACATGAATTAATGGCTTGCTATTGGATTAGCAGGAGTAATCTTGCTTGGTCAGGCTAAAACCCAAATCACGCTCCGGTGAACCGCCCCCCACGGAAGGAATATTACCTAAAGTCAAAATCTCCCCGCGTCCACCGATCCTTAACGCCCCTCAATCTCACGATTACAATCAAAGATCTATCCTCCCAGTCCCGGAACATACGTCATACATAATGCCTGACAAGGACGCTGGAACCCCCCGTGTCTTCCTCTACCGACACGGTGCGTAACATGATGAGCCCCGCTCGATAGGATAGTTGACTCACCATGTTCACCAGGGGAGACGGAATGGTCCAAGAGCGGCCGGTACACCGGCATCAGCGAGATCGAACTGACCGAGGACGGTGTCAAGCAGGTGATGGCATCGGGCAAGATCCTCGTCGGTTCCGGCAAGTTGATTGACCCGGCCAAGCTGGCGCGGGTCTTTGTGAGTCCGCGCCGGAGAGCCGTCCACACCTTTAATCTGGCATTCAGTGAGGGCGACAAGCAGGCCCTGAAAGAGGCCAACAAGGTGGAGGAGACGGAGAGACTGGGAGAGTGGGGATACGGTCTGTACGAAGGACTGTTGACCAAGGAGATCCGCGCCTTGCGGAAGGAACATGGCCTTGATACCGAGCGGGCCTGGGATATCTGGGCCGATGGCTGTGAGGAGGGAGAGTAAGTCAGATCCGGACCAGCAGCCCGATAGGAGAGCTTACGCGGCACAGATCCGCTCAAGATGTGACAGCCCGTCTTGATAACCTGATTGAGGAAATCCGGGCCCTCCACAAAGGCAACATGCATGGCGAGCAACCCTCGGATGTGGTCCTGTTTGCTCACGGCCACACTCTGCGGGCCTTTACGAAGCGGTGGCTGGGTTACCCCATGGACTTTCCTTTGTCCATGATGCTGGAGCCGGGTGCGGTTGGAGTTCTGAGGTATGCGCTGCCTGCTGTGGAGATGACAGAGCTAACGTGGTTGCAGCTACCAACATCATAGCATTGATGAACCCGCTTTTCTGGTGGGTTACGGGTTTCCGTTGGAGAAGTGATGCGGTGTGCTCTTCGCCTGACCCGTGGGGAAGAGGTTCAGATAGACGAATGTTTATTTCTGCATGATTTTAGATAGGATAGATGAATTATGTTAAGACCTAGTTCAAGGTGTAGAATTCTTGTCCAGGCTTGATGACATGGAGACCAGCGAGGATGAACAAGGGCCGGGGCATCTCTACCCTCTTGCTGTATTATCACTTCTCTACATCCTGTCACCACTAGCATCATATCCAGTGGATTCATTATTTCTTATCAATTCTTGATCTCCTCGCCTATCGACACGTCCCATACTCGGCACCAGATATATATCCCAAACAGACTCCAGCGAAATCTACCCCATCCCCAGAAATAAACAGGCCGAGTACTAAATTCATTACCCCTTGCATGGTGCCTACATATCACATACTCAATCCAGATGGTTCTTGCATGTGCGAGATGTCGGTTACTGCACATACTTATCTTTCCCCGGCTTATTATCCGGGTGGCTAAATCGCATTCATGTTCCTTGTGTATGGAACTTTTGAGCTCCAACCATCAATCGGGCAAGATGGCCGAGCGGTCTAAGGCGCTAGGGTCAGGCTATCTGATCTCACATGTTCTTCGGAATATTCCTAGTCTCGAAAGGGGCGTGGGTTCGAATCCCACTCTTGTCATTTTTTTGCATTTATTTTTACATATCAATTTGTGTAATGACAGTTAGGGCGGTTTTACTGCATTATCAACTTTCTTTTTATGTTGAGTCGGTTCATGTTGGGATCTCACCCTCATCCAGACAGTGAAGGGTGTACATAGCGAGTATCGCATCGCGAACTCTATCAAGTTACTAACATACGACTTCAGCTGGACTGAATAGAAATGCTACTGCAGTCGAAAAATCCAAGTTCAATTCTTTTGTCTTGATGTGAGGAAGTTTCACAATGCTATTGATGAATAGCTCGATCTGCAACCCTAACAACCCCCCTCCGAGTCATCCTGCAAGACCGAACACATCCAAGTGCCGCCATGGCTCAGGGTACAGACTGGCCCCGGACTGCTGCGCCAAATGCCAATACCCAAGAACTCCCCATGGATGGCATGATACGTTCCCACAATCGGGAGATGTTGGACTCCCGTAGCATCTTTGAGAAGGATCTCATATTTGGCCTGTCGCACCCTCCTCTGGATGACATACGTGGCTCCCCCAGCAACCAGAGATGGGGATGTCAGCTCTTCCAACCGAGTCACCCACGCCTCGGGGGTCATGTTTTCACCGAGAACAATGCCTTCCCCTTTTCCGCCTCGCGCTGGCTTGAGAAGATACTCGTCCTTGAGGTCGCGCTGCTGGCGACACTGTTCAATGAGATGTGCCAGGTGGCTGGACCCTGGAAGAATGGTGTGGCAAATCCCTTGCTTGAGGAGACTGGCCCCTTGGGGTGTTAGAACCTCTCTAGCGACGAATGAATCCATCTCCTCCAAAACGATCCCTAGCATCCGCTTATCGTGGACTAGGAGCAGAGTGCGCATGTCGTTGAAGCACCGCAGGCTGATCTCTTGGAGTACTTCATAGCGGAGCGCAAGAAGCTCGTGGTGATGCAGTTCTAGCGATACCTGATGAATCTCTTCTACAAGTTCTCCGGCTTCGTTTCGAAATTCAATTCCTCCCATGGGCGATTGACTATCCACCAGGCAACATAGTTTTTGTCCGCCAGGCGACTGATGGCAGGGTATCAACCGAAGATCCGCCGGGGTAATAAAGCGGACCCGCTGGCCCATATGCGTCTTCACATAATGGGCATAGAGATGAATATCCACCCCAGGCTCTTGACCCTTGAGGAGGTGGAGGGGCAAAGTCGGATTATAGAGTCGCTGGAATGCGTCGAAGAACTCCTTCTCACTGTTAGCCTACACAGGCTATGGAACATGAATAGAACCTGGTTACGATGACGACAGACACACAGTTTGCGAATCCGTGGCTCCCATCAGCTCGTGCCCAGTGATACCTGTATGCACCAGCGCATCCTGCCCGAGCGCGTTCACCATGAACCCATTCCAACAGAACCGGGCATTGATCTCGCAAATTCGAAACGTTTCCCGCCCATCCTTCCGGCGGATCAGCTCTTCGATGAGAAAGTCCGGTCTCCAGGATCCGCAGCGCTCTCGAAACGGACTGATGCTGCCAGTGCGCCGAGCATCATCCAACCACTGTTTGCATGAGCAGATCTAGCGCCAGGACCAAGCATCGAGACGGATCATACCTGGAGAAGCCTTTCCTCCACAGGCTGGAGAGGCATACGCGTCGGAAAATTTGCGCTCGAATCCGTCCACCACCTGGTAACAATGTCGTCGATGGCCGTGACGAGGACTTCGTTAAGACTTGCCAGCCCCGCGAGATGTTCTCGACCGACCAGCACCGGATACGGACATTTGGAGAGATACAAATTCCCAGGCCACGAGTGTGCCGGACAAGCTTTCAGCAGACTCGAATGTAAAGCGTCCTGAAGGCGCTGGCGGGCCTCCGAGCTGACCGCACCAGGACCTGTGATTTCGGCTGGGCCGCCCTCTGCGGAGGGGACCACCCCGATGGACCGCAGTCGAGGCTGGGGGGTTTTCATGATAGGGGCCAGGATAAAAGGATGGCACGATGGCAGGTTCCGAGTCACACAACGGGCTAAATGGCGGGGGATTTATGCGGTCCAGGGGCAACTTCGGATCTTTTCTAGCCCTCCCCTAACTCCATCCCGTCCGTGCATATGATCGTCTCGATGCAGGTAGATGATTGTACTGACTCCTATTCGCGTCGACCATGGGGCTTGACAAGTCCGGTGGATCTGTGCTTATGAATAGGATATTTTGGATCGAAATCGGCATAATTGGATTGTTATTTCTTACGCCACAATGGCTGCTGGCTTCTATTCGTTGGCAGATATCCTCGCAGTTGCCCAGGTCCATCCATTCTATTCCGACACGCTGTATCCCCCTACTCGAGACCAGCTCCCTCATATCCTTCATGCCGCGCAAGCCAACCCGGAAGCTGGTCGAGCTCTCGAGTCATTCCCTTTGACGAGAAAGCACTCCCTGTATGTTACATAGTTAGTCTTCCCATTGATGTTGCCAGGATCTAACAACCACCCTCCATTCACAGATACCAACACATCTCCCGACTCACCGTGGACAAAGACCCACGAAACGGATATCGCCAGGGCACCTTCGTCAGCACGACGGGGGGTGGCTCAGGCGGGGCGCCGATGGTATTTGCAACAGATGCAATAGAAAACCGACAGCAGCGAGCCGTTGTGGGCGATGTCCTGCGGAATTGCGGCCTCATCGAGCCGGGCGATTGGGTCCTGACCCTCCACGTCTCGGGCCATCTATACCGGTACGTCTTACCCTATACAAGACCGGCCCGTACCAACCACCTCCAGGGCCCTGGACCTCATGACCGAGTTATTCGAAAACGCCGGAGCCGCCGTCTTATGCGCCGGGCCGGAGATGGCGCACTCGGCGGTAGTGGAAGCCATCATCCAATATCGAGCCAATGCAGTAGCGGGAGACGTCAGCCAGCTCCTACAGCTAGCGAAGTACGTGACCACCTTGGACGCAACGCAGAAAGATGCCCTCGCCCTAACCAAGCTATTCTACACATCCGAGTCCATCACCTCCTCTCAACGAGGCTTCCTAATCTCCGTCTTCGGGGACCTCACCATCTGCTCCGTCATCGGCAGCGCAGAGGCCGGAGCATGGGGCGTCTCGAGCAGCGCATTAACCGGGATCCCCAAGGCCAATTATACAGATTTCATCGTCGACAAACGGACCATCCATCTCGAGATCTTTCCCTTGACAGTTGCAGACCAAGCCGAAGCCATGACCCCCTGCTCACCCACCCCCCGTGCGAAACAACTCCCCCCCGGCCACCCAGGCCTCCTCGTGCAAACCTCCCTCCAACGCCTCCGAAACCCCCTCGTCCGATACCTCTGCGGGGACATCGCCTCCCTGCACCCCCTGCCCTCCACCCTCCTCTCCACCCTCCCCACCCACCACACAGATCACTACCAACTCGTCCGGATCTACGGCCGCGACCAACGCTCCAGCTTCACCTGGTACGGCGAGTACTTTGAATTCGGGGCCATTGAGACGTTCATGCGCGCCGAGCAATGGGATATTCTCCTCTGGCAGATTATTCTCCAGCATGCGAGTCCCGAGGGCGCGGACGTTGATGTGGATGTTGTCCTGGAAGTGCGTGTCTTCCGCGACCCAGAGAGTAGAGTTAGTCAGGAGGTTCTGGCCGCGAAGATTCGGGAGTTTTTTTGGGTGTTTGATTTTAATGCCGAGTTGTTTCGGTTGGAGTTTTTGGGGGATACGAGGGGGTTTCGCAGGAGTAGGACGGGGAGGAAGGTTATGCAGTTTGTGGATTTGACGGGTTGAGTTTTTTTTTTCGTGAGGGGGAGGTGGTGTAGATTTAAGTCAGGTTCGGGGATTTTCTTTCGTGCCTTTATACAGTGGTAGATGATTCAGATGTGTGTCGGTAGCCTTTCTCTTATTCCTTTCCCTTCTGTGAGGATCAGGTAGAAGGAGGGTGTCGTTACCCCCCCCCCCCCCCC